CCCCCCCCCTGGCCGCCGCCGTCCTAAGTTCAAACTCGTCACCCCCTGCCCCTCTTGCAATTTTCCTACGGCTTGAAAAGGTTTGCGACACCGAGGAGGCGTACTCGTTCGAGATGAGCCGCATCAGCAAGATGTTTGACCTCAACCTCGGTGAGGTGAAGGAGCGCTGCGCCGCCATCGCCAACCCCTTCTACCGGAAGGCGCTCGGCTCGGCCGCCGCGAAGTGGGAGTCGGTTAAGGCTGACCAGCTCAAGAGGGCCCGCCAGACGCTGGGGATGGACGAGGAGGTGGCCCACGAGATGCACAAGGAGGTTTACAGGTGGGGGCTGTGGGTTGTTGTTGTTGTTGTTGTTGTTGTTGTTGTTGTTGTTGTTGTTGTTGTTGTTGTTGTTGTTGTTGTTGTTGTTGTTGTTGTTGTTGTTGTTGTTGTCGTTGTTGTTGTTATTGGCGGTTGAGTTGTTACTGTGGTAGTAATGATGATGGCGGTGGTGGATGTTGCTGTTTCTGGTGGTTTGAGTGTTGCTGTTGCGGTGGTGGAGAACGTGTTGTTTTTGGCAGTGCTTTGTCGTTACTGCTGCGGTGGTGTTGTCGGTTGTTGTTGTGCTGGTGGTGGATGTGGTCGTTTTTGTTGCTCTCCAGCGGCAAGCCTGCCACGAGTCATTGATGCGTGCACATGATCCCTAAAACGCGCAAGGCTCCGCCCCCCCCCCCCCCNCCCCCCCCCCCCCTGCAACTTGTCGTAGAGCCAGTGTACGACATACCAGTACGAACTAGGTGTTGCCGCCATTCTGTCTCTTGATATCGCCTCTCGCATCATCGCCTTGACTACCGTCGTTGTCGTTGTTCCCGATTCACGCGCTGCTGTTACATAAGGGCGGAGGCTCTCAAGCTTGTCACGAAGGACGGGGAGGCCCGCGACATGAAGCTCGACAGGGCGGACAAAGCTAGGCTCGGCAAGCTCGCCGCGGCGTTCGGTGCGTGGAACCGTGCGGGTGGTCGATGAATTGGCCGTCGGCCCTGTTTTCCTCGAACATACCTCCGAAGAACTCCTTTAAAAGGACTGATTTTATTTGGGCTTGAGAAACATGTATTCCTCTACATATAACTAGAATTTTCAGAAGTTTGTTTGAAAGTCTTCTGCCAAACATATGTTGCGAAATTGCGTCTGTTCCAATTCATTTTGGTAAAACCGCTTTCGTGTTGCTACATGTTACCATAAGAACACCTCGGTCTCTGTGCGTTGGATGAGGCATTGCTGTGCGTCGGCGCCTCTTAAGCTAGCCGCGGCCTTCGGTACGTGCCCGTGTGGCCCTAGATAGTCCTGGACAGCGAGAATTCTACATTTGACAAAGGGTAGCACCTCTCTCCTGTGACGACAACTTGCGTAGAGTATTTCGCTGTAGTTTTGGCGCCGTGCGGTGCTTCGTCGTCGACTTCAATGGAGACCGAAGCACAGCCAAACGGATTTCGGCGGTACAGCCTCGTTTCTGTCAGCCCCCAAACTTCCGTACAAGCTTTCTTGGGAGAGCAGTCGTGAAAAGCATCTCAAAACATGCCGTTGACAAAGGGTAGCAACCTCTCCTGCTGTGCCGATAGCTCGCGCATCTCGTTGCTGTTTTGGCGCCGTGCGGTGCTTGGTCGTCATCTTCAAAGGAGACTAAACCGCAACAATCAAACGAACCAAGTCAGCACAGCCTCGTTCTGGCAACCCCCAATCTTCCGTACCACAATCTTTTTCTCAGCGTGATACCGTCGCTGTCCACCCTCATCGGATAAGCCCTAGGCGTCGTGGGCCTTATTTATATAGAAGAACAGTCCTGAAAAATCGACGAAAATATCCCACTGACAACCGGTTACACCCCTCTCCTGTGCCGACATAACTTACGCATTTCGTTTTTTTTTTTTTGTGGTGTCTGTTCGTTGTTTACGACGTTGACAAAGGGTAGCTCCCCTCTTCCTATCCCGATAACTTTTGCGTGTCGTTGTTGTTATGGCGGCGGCAGAGCTCTCCGAGGAAGACGCCACTGCGGAGTACGAATCGGTGGTGAACCCTATTTACGAGGAGCTGGTGGTGGAGTGCCTCGGCAAGATAATGAACGAGCCGGAGGCTTCCAAGCCGGACCTCGCCCGGATGTACGGGGAGCTCATGGTGAGGGAGTCGGCGGCGGCATATCGTATGGTTGTTGCTGCCGTTGCTGTTGTCGTCCTTGCTGTTATTGTTGTTGTCATTACTTCCGGTTTCGTTATTGTTTGTGTTAACTTGAGCGGTTCTGAGGACGTTCCAGTACCTGCGTGGTCCTCGCTTATCCTAACAGTGATGCTGCTGTAGGCCAAGAACTTGAACAACTTGGTGTAAGGGCTCACCGCTCTTGTCACTTGTGTGCCTGCTGCAGGACTGGTTCACCACTGCTGTTTCTTGTGAAGAGTATTCTTAAGTTCACAACCTTCTGCTTTAGTATGGAATTGATCCCGCCGGAGCTCAAGTTTCATGTTGCTGTTTTCGAGTCCTACAGTACCAAACTTAGTGTTTGCTGTGGATCATTTTGTTATTCTTTGGTCGTTTGTCCACGCCAGCCGAGGATTGGGCGAGGCGTGATGCACCAGCAGCAATTCTGGTAGGGTTATTTTGTCGTGTTTCCGCATGTTGGGTGAATGCCCTTCTCCGGGGTACTGTACAGCGTATGATGTTCGTGTGAAGCAGCGCTTTTCGCTTCCGTCCCTCTTGCCGGTTACCCGTATTTTTTTCCGTGGTGACCGTTGCGGTTCTTGCCGGTTACCCGCATTCTTATTCCTTGATGACCGCTGCTGTGCTTGCCGGTTACCCATATTATTCCGTCGTAACCGCTGCGGTCCTTGCCGGTTACCCGTATTCTTATTCCGTGGTGACCGCAATTGTGCAACTGGAATGCGGTAAGTGTTGTTGTCGTCTGTTTAATCATCGTCCCCTACGCGTCGTCTCACGGACTACGGGGTTCTTTCTGCTCCTTGGCTTCTTTTTTCGTTCAGATGTTCTCCGCGAACACGGGTCTTCGTTCGGAAAGGGCGGAGGAATCTCTCCGCAACATCATGACGGCCAGCGTGCAGTACATGTTCGAAGACGCTGCTCAGGTACAGCACAGGACGCGCGCCCACCGCTGTCGTTCTTGTTGTGGTGTGTTGAAAGTAGTTGCGCGTGTAGCGTGTGCGGTGGACGGGTACGGTAAGCTCACCCACTGCTGTCGGCGCCTTTCGTTGTGGTTCATGACGATGTAGTTTATCTAGCGAGGGCGGCGGCGGCGGCGGCGGCGGCGGCGGCGGCTGCCGTAACAATAGATAAAGTTTCCGACAAAATGCCCGGACCAACGGTTAAGTTTCCGACAAGCTGGGGCAGCCAACATACACCTTGGTATCAACGCGGGTCGACAAGCTTTGGCTCTGTAGGGGACATAACAACCACAGAAAGACTACCCTTTTGAGAAAATACCACTGCTGTTGCATCTTGTCTCACACGTGCATGAGTCGGCTGGCGATGGGTAAAGGTGTAGGTCACGAAAAGTCTAACAAGGCGGCTGTTTCGAGACAATAAGAGAGGGCAACAAACCGAAGCTGTTCCGTCGAAAGGTAGCTTGGGCGTGATCGTGGTCCGTCGGTGTGCAAGGCCTCAAGAGCAGTAGATCAGAACCACCGCGTGCACTGCTGGAGGCGATGTCGGCCAGCCTGCCTTCGGCAGCAGCGTTAATCATGGTGTGCGGCCTGCGATGTCTGGTGTAAAACTCCCAGATTGGTATGCCATGCGTGCCGATGAAGAGAACGCCAAGATAGATAGAGATAGATAGGTAGGGAGAAAGACATGCAAGTGGCCGCCTTGGGAATATGCGCATAAGAACAGGAGGGCAGGTTTGGTTCTTTTTTCCGAGTCGTTGACCCAGATGGTTTCTGTGTTCTGTTGCTGTTGCCACCGTCTTTGCGCGCAGTACGTTCGTGTGGCAAACCAGAAGGAGGGCGCTAAGGCCGCTCGCGGCATGGCAGCGTTCGTGCAGTCGACCTTGGACATGGTCTCGATCAACGTGGCTGACGACGAGACTGGGGAGAAGACTTACAACATGGTCATCGGGGGTGAGAGCCTTTTTTTTTTCGCGCCTCCCCCAATTTCAAAAATATCCAAAACTGAATCAAAACATATGAGAAAATGTCAACATGGTAATCGCGGGTGGGAGCCGTCTTTGTGTTTCGCGCCTCCCCCCAATTAATAAACATCCTTAAACAATACATAGAATTAGTACCGTAACAGAACATGGTCATCGGGGATGAGAGCCCTTATTGTAAATATTGCGTCCTCCTCCAAAATTGAACGTTGCAAAGATATCTCGGTTGGTACAGCGTGCACATGCGGTAGCATTTGTTGTCCGATTTTGGTGTTCTTGTGTGTGTTTTCGCATGGTTTGGTGAGGCGTAGTTCTTCGTACATGCACACGGAAGACACCCGTCTGGAAGTGGCACCGGGAGATCCATCTGGTCCTTTTCTTTTGTGTTTGTCCATCTTTATCGTATCATGTGCCTGGTTGCCTGCGTGTAATTAGGTTGTGCTCGCCGCGTTTTGGGTGTCTTCAAGTTTCCAGCCATCGCAGACGACCAAACAATGCGGGGAGAATCGAAGGGTCCAGTCGTACCGTCTAGACGGAGTCGCAGTGGTACGTTTTGGGGTTGAGAGATTACAATGTAAGCACTTAACCTCGTTCACGACTTGCCGGTGCGTCTTGCCCCCCCCCCCCCCCCNGCGTCTTGCCCCCCCCCCCCCCCTGTACACCGTGAACTTGACAAACACTTTCTCGACCCCCTTCCCGTGGCGCCAGAGTCCATTATTTCTGGAGAATCGTACAGCGATGCCCCTGGACTGTACGAGATGTTTCTCAGCTCGTGCTTCGCCCAACCTGCGGTAAGCAAATGAGCACAAGAGATGAAAGCCTCGAGTGCGGTTGGTTCGTTCTCTACCCAGTCTCGTGGGCTACCGTAGGTTGCACAAGATATCACACCTCCTGGACCGATTTTCAAAGCTCGATTATTTCACGACGAAGAGGATACATAGGCCAAAGGATACGTTTTCGGAAAATCTTCCAACGCCGCCACTTACTTTCAGCACCCGTCACTTCTTTTCTTGCCGAGAAATCGAGCTTCGAGAATCAATCCAGGGGATGTGATGTCTTACGCTACCTACGGTATTTATTCCCTACACTTCACACGTCCCACTCCTATTTAGGTTCAAGTATCAGCAATCCTCCCTAGTTTTTACGTGCGCCCCTCCTGAAGATTCAAGTATTCATTACCTTTTTTGTTCTTTTTTTTCTATCGTTTTGGTGTGGGTGTGTGTTTGCGTTGTGATGTAGTGTGAAGACCCGCCGTCATTCCATCCACCTCTCCCCTCTCGGGGCGATAGGTGTCCCGCGTTTTTTCTCGAGAACGCTAAGTATGAAGAGGCGGCATAATCCGAGGGTCGCTACGTGTACGGTGTCTTTGGGCTCCGATCAACTGACATGGAGGATGCGCTGTTACCTCTCCCTCCCTCTCCCGTTGCCGCGGTTTGTGATTGTGTGTTTTGATCCGTTGTTGTCAGATGGAGGAAGGCGACACCAAGACGATTGCGCTCCTGGCCAAGCTGCTCGAAATCGACGAGCTGCGACAGGTTAGAGGATGGTTGTTCGTTGGTGGTGTTCTGGACGGCGTCGTCGCCGTTGATGTTGGTCACCCTGCTGTTGTTGGCTGTTGCTGTTGTTGTCGTTGCTGTAATGTTGCTGCTGCTGTGTTCCTGTGTTCCTGTTGTTGGCGTCGAATCGGTTCAAAGAATGAGGATGGGGAACATCCCCGCCCCAATTGGGGAAAGGAGCGTGCAGCTTGCTCATACTTGGAAATACTTTGTCCGAATCCGAACAAAGCCGACAACCTCCACGCAATAATCGGTAATCTGAGCTTCTTCGTGAATCCTTCCACTATGTAGCAGAGAGAAAGTTTCGAGTTGACGAAGGTTTTGAGCAACTACGATACGATACCAAACTCCGTCTGTCAAATTAGCTGTCTATCTGGTTATCTTTCTGTCTCTCCATCTTTCTCGCTTTCTCTCTCTCTTTCTCCCTCTTTCTCCCTCTCTCTCTACCCCCCCCCCCCCCCCCCCCCCCCCCCCCCCCCCCCCCCCCCCCCCCCCCCC